CACAAGTGGAACCCAAGTACGCCGTGTTGGTGTGCGCTACTTCATGCTATGGGTTTGTAGAAAAAACATATTCAATAAAAAGGCGAGCAGACGTTGTGTGTTGCCTACATGCGAAAAGATACAATTCGTCTGCAGATGGTACAATCAAGGGACTCCGTATCACCTGGTAGCATCCATAGTCTGATTTAATTCTTCTGATGCGATTGTGGCCGAGACAGTTATGTTTATGATATGTGAAAGCGGAACCTTCAAAGCAGGCGTGCATACGATCAGGATATAGGGCAGATCGAAAAAAACAAACAATTCATTGGTGCCGGTGACCTAGTTCTGGTCAATGACAAGCCTCAAGTTTAGACTCGTGAAGTTTTTGAGCCCGACCGAAATTCAGCTTTGCTGAAATAACCGTGGCATGTGATCAGTGGTTCCCTCAATAAATAAATATACGCTAGTGGCTTTCAGTATCGACGTGAAAAAACAATCAGCATGTTTCCAGGTCATCCTAGGCAACAGCATGTTGACTAGTCTCTGAGCCTTACGTGCCAATTGGGCTTGGGAAAGTTCTTGTGCGAAATTTCAACAAGTATCATTGATGAAAAGCATTCGTAGAAAGTCTCGACCTGATTTACTACACTTTCATTGCAAGATAACCCGATGCAAATATCAATCTACTTGAGTATCTGGTTTACATTCGCGTGCAACTATACCAATTTCTTAAAATCGAGATTAGTGTAGTTACTATTTGAATAAGGGCAGACTTAATCAGAAAATGCCGCATTAAACTGTCGATATTCCCCACCAACAGTATAGGTGATTTGATTTTGACCGCACTAACGGTTGCCCGTTAGCCACCTTTAACATTTGAAGGTTAAATTGATGTTGTAACTTACCCTACTAACAGCTAGGTACTACCTAAAGGTCTAGACACGTGTTTCGCAGGTATTCTGCCGCTGTTTGACACAGCTGCGAGGGGTCCGGCTCATTAGTGGGTCCCCCAGCTTTCCCTGTCTGCTTTCTGGTTGCTATACCGGTTTTTTA